GTTCAGGAAGGGTGGGAGTGAGGAGGTACCATGTACTTGGGTCCCCAGCCCTAAGCAGGAAGGGGAAGGATAGCCAGTGGTTAATCCTTCAATCTGACAGCAGCTCTCCCTGATTCTGGGGAGGGGACATGTTGGTGGCATCCAGGCTGAGTGCCAAAGAAAATCAGTCCACGTGCTTTGCTCGGCATGTGTGCAGAGGGTTGCTGAGCCCTTGCCATAGGTGATTGGTCTGAAGGTGTAGTGTCCTCAGGATATACCCCATGAGGGAGATTAAAAAAAATTCCTAGTTTAGCTTTTTTTGTTGTTGTTGTTTTTTGTTTTTGCTTTTTTGGTGAGGCAGTCGGGGTTAAGAGTCACACAGATAACTTGTTTTTTATTTGTTTCTTTGTCTTAAAAGTGAAGTGAAATAGAAACTTGATTAAATAGATTTAATTGACATTATGGTGTTATTGTTATTATTAAGTGAGGCAGCATGGGGTAGTGGATTGAGCACTAGTGGTTAAGTCAAGAGGCCTGGGTTCTAATTCTGACTCTGCTTTTTACTAGCTGAATGACTTTGGCCAAATCACTTAACCTATCTGTCTGTCTCCCTTTCTCTCTTTCTCTCTCTCTTTCTCTCTGTCTCTCTCTTTCTCTGTCTCTCTTTCTTTCTTTCTTTCTTCCTTTCTTCCTTCCTTCCTTCCTTTCCTTTCTTTTTTTCCTTCCTTCCTTTCTTTCTTGGCAATCGGGGTTAAGTGACTTGCCCAGGGTCACAAAGCTAGTAAGTATCTGAAGTTGGATTTGAACTCAGGTCCTCCTGACTACAGGGTTTGTGCTCTATCCATGGAGCCACCTAGCTGCCCTCTCCTATTCTTTAAACAGACATCCCCCCTTATTTTTATTGTTAGTTTTTGATTTTACATAATTTTAGTTTTTGAATATATTCCCCTTCGCTGCCCTACCCATTGAGCCATGCCTTATAATAGAGATTTTTAAAAGGAGTGAAAAAAGGTAGTTAAAAAACCCCAGTCAGCAGGTTGATTTTATCTGACAGCATATTCATTATTCCACACTCATGGTCTCCTGTTTCTGCAGATCAGAGACAGAGGTGCTTTTTCTTAACTTTTCTCTGGAGGTAACCTTAGTCATTATAATTTCAAAGTGTTTAGTTTCTTCTTTTGGTTCTTTCTGTTATACGTTGTCATCTGTTTTCCCCTTCTGTAAAATTATTGATGATTATTCTTCCACCGTTGTCTTTGTTATTCTTACAGTACAAGACAGCTTCCAAGGGGAAATCTGTAAGATACCTTGGCCCAAATCATGCCTTAAGGGGTCTTCAGTCCCTTTACTGCAGTCCTTGGGGTGGGAATCTCAGCCTACCCCTGGCCCAACCCTTTCTTTTGCTATTTTTTGATTATGCCTAGTAATGTTTCTGTTGGATTCTGTGCCTGAAGACCTTACTAATCTCACCTTGCTGCTGGGCACGGTGGAGAGAAGGGGTAAAGGAGAGGGGTGTATATGCCCTCTGACACCGGTGCCAACTCTCTGCAGGTCAGCGGAGGCTGTGGGAGGCCGTGAAACGGAGAAAAGCAATGTGTAAGCGAAAGTCTTGGATGAGCAAGGTGAGTGCACTGGACTGTGGCAGGGGAGGGGTTGGGGTGTGTAGGGGGAAGAGCAGAGTCCTTAGCAGGGACCTCATTCTGTCTTCCTCCCAATGGCAAGAGTCAGTTTGTCAAACCATAAGACCTCAGGGTAGAAGACCTCATGTCTACCCCATTCCCACCCTCAATTCCAGGAATCTAGGGAAATTCCGCTAAAATATTTTTCTTAAAAACAGCCTCTTTTTTGTTTGTGTGTGTGTGCTTTCAGTCTTCTCTAGTCCCTAGGGTAGCTTCTGCCTTAAGTAAATGTATCCCCCTTAACTGCCTCCTCCCCAGCTCCCCACTCTCACCCCCAGCTGCCGTCTCAGCTGAACTTAGAATTCATTCATTCTTTGGCCCTTTGCTTGTTGTCCTCAAAGACAGTGAGAAAGGAAATTTGTGTAGGCCTGTGTTCTGCTATTAGAAAAGTCTCCGGTCTTCCCTCCCTATCTCTGTCCTGTGGGCCCCGTCCCAGGGGGTAGGGGTGGCACTGGGGATGCTTTTCCTGGGTTTGGCAACAGCAATTTCCTGGATGGCCCTACAGCAAAGGACCCACTTGAGAGCCTGATAAGGGGCAGCTGCAGCAGGCCACGTGGTCTCCTTTGGTGATGCTGCCCTGGCCCTCTGCCCAGAACGAGGGGAGAAGGGAGGGGGTTGAGGAGAGAAATGAGAAGAATAGAGGAGGAGAGAAAGTTGTGTGAAAAGGGAAGTAGTAAGGACTAGGCCCAAATCCTGGACTGAAGAGAAGCCAGCACCCAGGAGTAAGGCCCAGTGCTATCCTCAGTTCTTGGAATCGGAGTGGCCTTGCCAATCTTAAGGAGGTCTTACTGGGCCAGTGTGGGATGGGAGCTAATGGTAGGATAATGGGGTGGGCTGTTGCAGAGGGGAGCATTCTGCAGGCCTGATTGTTGGCGTGCACCAGCTGGGCTAACTCATGGGCAAGAAGGGCTGACTAGGGCTATATTGCTAGGGTTCCATTTTATTTTACTGGGGGGGGGGCAGCATATAATCTTCCCTTTACCTGCTTGCTTTCCTACAGATTTAGTCCTCAGACTGCTTGAACCTTGCTTCCATTCCTCAAACTCAATATCTCTTTGTGTTATTTTCTGATCTCTTTCTTAGCTCCAAGATACCATCTCAGTCTTAGTAGGCAGTTCCTGAGTGTTTCAGACACTGCATTCCCCCCACCCCCCAACACACACACACACAGTCTCACACACACACACTCATACTCACACTCCCAACCTCCAAAACTAAAATTATCTTCTCCCCTGGGCAGGACAGGGGACAGAGTGACTCCCTGGGGAGGGGGCTGGAGATAGGCAGCACCAAGTGGCTATCAGAGGGAAGGAGCCAAAGCTAAAATTAGAAGGGGAGGTGGGGAGGGCCCCTCACTGCTTGAGGAGGGGTTAGGGTCAAGGGAGGCCCCTGCATCTTTCCTGGCTCTGATTGCATGCTGTGATGGCACAAACAAGTAGCTGCAGACAGGAGACAACTTGGTGCCCGCAGAGTGGCCAGGGAAGGGCGGAGAGGTGCTCTGGACTGCCTGTGCTATTCCGTCAGCTCCCTTCCCCCTTCCTCACCAAGCCCAAATGGGGCCCTGAATTCCCCAAGGAGTCCTGCTCTGCCCTGCTCTAACCCAGAGCCCAGCTCAAACCTTGGTCTGCCCTGGACCATGTGCACTCTCTTCCCTCTAACTGCCTTTCTCCCCTGCCCTCCAGGTGTTCAGTGGGAAGCGCTTAGATGCAGAATTTTCCACTCCCCAGTCACAGAATACCTTCAGAAAGACATCGCCTGTCCCAGGGGTTTCCGTTGGGGAGGGGTCGCTGCAGAGCCTTACTTGTCTCATCGGGGAGAAGGATCTGAGCTTGTTTGAGAAGCTCGGAGATGGCTCCTTTGGAGTTGTACGCAGAGGGGAGTGGGATGCTCCCTCAGGGAAGAAGGTGAGCCGGATTTACCTTCTGGATTTCCTGGGAGGGTCAGAGAGGAGAGGGTCAGAGGGGTGTTAACCTGGGGTCCAAACACTTGGATGGAAAAAAAATTACATCTTTATTTCAAGACAGTTCATTTCCTTTGTAATCCTGTATATTGTATGTATTTAATGATGCTGCTCTGAGAAGAGTTCCATAGGCTTCCAGATTGCAGAGGATTCCATTATACACAAATTAAAACAAATACCTTGGTTATACCCAGAGTCGAGCAGGGATGGTAGAGGTCCCTGGGTAAATAATGTATTTGCCTTCTCTTTGCTGCATACCACTGGATTGGGGATAATAAGATCAGGGGAAGTCAGGCAGTGGTGGCCTTTAGGGCCTGTGCTGAGGTTTAACTAGACTTGATTAGTTCAGTTTAAACTTGAGGATTCCCCGAGAACTGACTGTCAGACTGATGGCCACCCAGGCCATCATGTTCATGGCCATTGCCTTCCCTGGGACCTGTGTCCCGGCTCCCTGTGATTCCTCTGTCTCGGACAGGTGAGCGTGGCTGTGAAATGCCTGAAGCCCGATGTCCTGAGCCAGCCCGAAGCCATGGACGACTTCATCCGGGAGGTCAATGCTATGCACTCCTTGGACCACAGGAACCTAATCCGTCTCTATGGGGTAGTCCTTACCCCACCCATGAAAATGGTGAGTGGGGCCTGGTGGGCATGGGGGAGGAAATACATGGACCAGAGAACAAAGACAGCCGCCATCTTCTGTTAGCTTTCTGCCAGTCAGTCTTGCATGTGGGATCATCTTCCTTTCCCCATATTCTTAGAGTGAAAAAAGTGACTCCCTCATCCCCCTCCCCCATGATAATGCTACAGATTTTATAGTAGGGGGTGGGGAGAAGGACAAAGTAGAAAATTCTGACATTGATACCATCTTCCAGAATAATATGGCATGTAATGCCAAGGAGCCCAGCTGGATTTTCGCTTCTGCTCACTCTCTGAATTTCTTTGTATGACTCTCCCACACTCCCTTTTGAGGCAGGAATATGTCCTCTGAAGCCTCCATGGGAGTGCTGAGGCCTTAATTTTGTAATCTTGGAGTTTCTAATCTGAACTTGCCTGAATTTGCTGAATGAATAAATAGATGAACAAACGAATGAATATTTATTAAGCACCTACTATCTTCTGGGTATTGTAGGTTCTGGGCATATGAATAGAAAAGATGAAATGGTCCCTAACCTCAAGAAGCTTACAATCTAATGAAGAAAAGCTCTGAGCGGGCCTAGGTGGGTGGTGCCTGTGGCTCAGGCGAAGGGGAAATCATAAACTTTGAGTTGGAAGGGACCTGGGAAGTCAGCTAATCAATCAGTCAACTTCTTGTTGGCTAGTCCAGCTGACTCATGTAATAGATGAGGAAACGGAGGCCCAGTCGTCAGGACAGGAGGATGCTGGCTGAGGAGGAGAGGAGATCACCAGGGAGTCCTTGTGGGCTGGCACGGGGGGGGGGGGGCTGGGCTGTCTCTGGGTTTGAGGGCAGGCATTCTTTCCCTGACTCCCCCTTTCCCTTGCTCCTCTGGCTGTTCCAGGTTACAGAGCTAGCTCCCCTGGGATCTCTGTTGGACCGTCTGCGCAAACACCAGGGCCACTTTCTTCTGGGGACTCTGAGCCGCTATGCTGTACAGGTGGCCGAGGGAATGGGATATTTAGAGGCCAAACGCTTCATCCACCGAGACCTGGCCGCCCGGAACCTGCTGCTGGCCACGAGAGACCTGGTCAAGATCGGGGACTTTGGACTGATGAGGGCCCTGCCCCAGAATGACGATCACTATGTCATGCAGGAGCACCGGAAGGTTCCCTTTGCCTGGTGAGGGAGGGAGCTGGGTACCACACCTCTCACCTGTGCTTTCTCCCATACTGGGGCCCTTTATTTAGGCTCTCCCTTTTCTACTCACCCATTATAGCCTTTGGTCCTGCTTGGTTGGTCTTGGTACCTCTTTGAGACTATCCTACTTGCCTTTCTAGGTAGCCAGGTGGCATAGAAGATAGAGTGCTGGACTTGGAATTAGTAAGGCCTGAGTTCGAATCTTGTCTCAGATACTTACTAGCTGTGTGACCCTGGGCAAGTCACTTAACTGTTCTCAGCCTCACTATCCTCATTTGTAAAATGGAGATAATAATAACACCTGCCTAATGGGGCTGTTAGGCTCAAATGAGATAACGCATGTAAAATGCTTTGCAGAACTTAAAAATATACTATAAATGCTAGCTATGATAATAATTTGATATTATATTTAATATATTCACATACAATATTATCACTTCTCACCTTTACTTTCCCCTTGCTTAGTCCCAGCCCTGTATCTACCCTGGACTGCCCCAATCTGATCCCAGTCCTGCCTACTCTTCCTAATCTAGGGTGGCAGTGTTCCCAAGCAATCATTTACCCAGCTTGCGACCTCTGGTAGCCAGAGAAGACCATAGGAGGAATGTAGGCCATTTGGCTTATTTTCCCCAACCTGTGGAGCCCTGGTTCAAAAAGACCAGCGGGCCCACTTTGTTGCACCTACTCCTGCTCACTTTGCCTGTTCTAGGAGGTGCGGTTGAGGAGATGAGATACCCTAGGCAACCTGCATAGTAAAGCTGGTAACTTTTCTGACCCCACCAGGTGTGCCCCAGAGAGCCTGAAGACACGGACTTTCTCCCATGCCAGTGACACCTGGATGTTTGGAGTGACCCTGTGGGAGATGTTTACCTATGGCCAAGAGCCCTGGATTGGCCTGAATGGAAGCCAGGTGAGAGTCTGAGTTGATTAGGTTCCCGTCTGCCCTCCCACCTTCACAACATGGACCTGGGACAATCTTACCCATTAGCTGGATTCCTTGTCTAGTCTTCTAGGGATGGATCCCTGGATACTGAGCAGGAACGGATGAGGCAGGGACTCCAGACTCATTAGCTGGGGACACCTTTTAAATAATCAGTTGACATTTATTAAGCATCTTCTACGAGTCAGGTATTTTGCTAAGTGCTGAGGATACAGATAGAGGCAAAAGACAGTCCCTGCGCTCGGGTAATGGGCTAATGGGGGAGACAACAAAGAAATTATGCAAAGCAAACTATATCCAGGATAAGTTAGAAGTAATTAATAGAGAGAAGGCGCTGGAATTAAGTGAGAATAGCAGCTGGGTCTATATGCACCCTCTTCCCTTCTCCTCTAACTCATCTCTTTACACCTGAGTGACCTTAGTCAGTTTTCAGGTAGGGATAGCTCATCATTGGGAGATGGGTCAGAGAAAGAGAAATAGTATTTGACTACTTCTCCCAAGTCCCATGCTTAGAGCCCATGCCTGGATTTACCCTGGCTCCAGAAGATTCAGGTCTCACCTCACTAAAGGGGGAGCCTTTTGTTGGGAGATGGGATGGAAGGTTTTTGGGGGAAGGATGGAGTCTCTAGTTGCAAACAGACCTTGCCCTTCCCTTCCTCAGATCTTGCACAAGATTGACAAAGAGGGGGAGAGGCTGCCTCGCCCTGAAGACTGTCCCCGAGATATCTACAACGTCATGGTCCAGTGCTGGGCCCACAAACCTGAGGACAGACCTACCTTTGTAGCCTTGCGAGACTTCTTGCTGGAGGTAAGGGGCATGGAAGACTGGGATTTGACCTTGGGGCAACAGAAGCTGAGGTGCTTTGGGAACCCTGGAAGAGCTGGGGGAGGAGGCTGGCACTGGGGTAATATTCTCTGCTGTCAGTAGGAAGGAAGGCTGAAGGGTGGAATTGACCTGCCCTTCACTGCTGTCCCCCTTCTGCCCTGTCCCACAGGCTCAGCCCACGGACATGAGAGCCCTTCAGGACTTTGAGGAGCCGGACAAACTGCATATACAGATGAATGATGTCATCACTGTCATCGAGGGAAGGTATGGGTGGCGGTGGTCCCAGGGCCACATTTGGGTGGATCTGGGCATGTTGGAGGCTACGAGAGAGCCAGCTCTGCTCTGGGGCTGAGGTCTGTGTGAAGAGGAGAGAAGAGTCAGGACTTGATCAAATTTCAGCCTGCGTGGTCTTTATCTGGACAAAAGAGGTAGGGGACAAGCCCAGAGGCCAAGAGATCTCAATTATATATTCTTTTTTTTTTTTTAAAGTGAGGTAATCGGGATTAAGTGACTTGCCCGGGGGTCATACAGCTAGTAAGTGTCAAGTATCTGAGGTCACATTTGAACTCGGGTCTTCCTGAGTCCAAGGCTGGAGCTCTGTCCATTGCGCCACCTAGCTGCCCCTGAATTATATACTCTTTAAAACTTTATCTTTAATTATATAGAGAAGCTCTTAGAGCTGAAATCTCAGAAGCCATCCTTTTCAACCCTTCCATTTTACAGATGAGGAAACTGAGGCTAACAGGGTTAAGTAACTTGCTCACAGTCACACAGCTACTAAGTGTCTGAGACCAGATTTGAACTCAGGAAGATGAGTCTTCCTGACTCCAGGCCAGGCAATCTATCCACTGTGCTGCCATATTGGACAATTAATTGTTTAAAAAAAAAAAGTCTTCCTTTTATCAAGTGGCAGCTAAATGATTCAGTGGATAGACTATAGGACCCAGAGTCAGAAATACTGGGCCTCAGACATTAATTGTGCTATGCTAGGCTGCCTGCCTCAGTTTCCCCATCTGTAAAATGGAGATAATAATAGTACCCATCTCCCAGGATTGTTGTAAGGTTCAAATGAAATCATATTTGTAAAATGTTCCACACCATATATAGTACATAGTAGGTGCTTAATTGTTAGGACTTTCTTCATTCTTCCTGACTCCCAAGACTTTTCCAATTTTTTCAGGTCCAGACCCTGGCTGTGTACATAAGAGCCAGACCAAGGATAGGGGAACCTGTGGCCTCGGTTCCCCACCCTGGGGCCAGACTATCTTCATTGGAACATGAGGTGTAAGAATTGGCTGGGGTTGGTCAGTCTCATGGCCACTGTGGCTAGGACAAGAATCCTATGCCCTACTCAAAGTCTCCCTCTCTCCTTGATATAGTATACTTGGAGAAAATTGGATTTGGAGTTAGAAGACTTGGATTTCAATCCTAGCTCTGTCACTTAATGCCTGTGTGACTTGAGGCTCGTCCCTTTGACTCTTTAGCTCACTGTCTCCTAATCTGCATAATGAGAGGGTTACTTTTTCTCATCTTCCTGAGTTCAGTTTGGCCTCAGACATTTACTAGCTGTGTGACCTTGGGCAAGTCACTTAACTTTGTCTGCCACAGTTTCTTCACCCATAAGGCCTCTAAGATCTCTGTGATCCTGTGACTTGCCTCTGACAGACATAAAGAAATTAGATCCTTCCCAGCTTCAACAAAGAAATCAGCAACATCCCTTACCAATAACACCCTCCCCATTGACCTCTCCCTAATCCCTTCCTCTAGATTCCCATCGATCCACTCACAGATCTTTCTGGTGACCAATTTCCTGAATGATCTGTCCTCCCTATACAGCTAGAACACTTAATTGCTTTCTCCCTCTCTCGCTCTTTTAATTCTTACCATCCCGAACACATAAATTCATCTGACACCTCTTTGATTCCCCCATTGTGAACAGGTCGGTCCCAGCGGCTGACTCTTTCAACCATTCATAGCCTTCTTCACGCCCACACACCCCTGCTTCTCCAATCCCCACTCCTAAGGTTTCCTGCCCGGCCCTCCGTAGCCCTGACCCTAGGTAACTGCTGCCGCCCCACCCCGCCACGTGCCTCTGCCTCCAGGTACCTCCTGAGTCACTGGCTTCTCTCCTCTCCAGCTCCAGCAGTGCAAGCATATGTACCAGAGGAGATGGCCCCACCTGTTATCTGATACCTTGAAAGTTGGAACTGGTTTGGGCAGGGGCAGGTTCAGGGTTAAGGAGGAGAGTGAGGCAGGAAAATCCCCCTTAGGACTGTCTCTTCCCTATTCCTTCTACCCTCTCCAAACCCCTCCATGCTTTCTAGGGCAGGCAAGTTTAATTCTCCCATAGCTGCTTTTCCAGGCTGCTTCTGTTACGGGGAAAGAGAATCTTCTCCCAAATTGTGTTTCACTAGAAAGCTGTCTTGGGGTCTGTGTTGTTGTTTTTTGTTTTTTCAGTCGTGTCCGACTCTTCGTGACTTCCATTTGAGATTTTCTTGGCACATACTGGAGTCGTTTGCCATTTCCTTCTTCAGCTCATTTTATAGATGAGGAAATTGAGGCAAACAGGGTTAAGTGACTTGCCCAGGGTCACATAGCTTGTCCGTGTCTGAGACCAGATTTGAACTCAGGAAGATGAGTCTTCTTGACTCCAGGAGCAGTGCTTTAACCACTGCACCACCTAGCTGTCCTGTCTTGGGGTCTCTAGGGAGGATACAAAGTGAGACATAGCCAGAGGAATTGTCTGGGCACCTCTGGAGTGATGCTGGTTCATGCAGGAATACGTGCGTCTGAGATCTCCTGGATTTTTGAGACTTTCACATCAGGGTCGTGGGAGGAAAAGGCTGCAGCTGCTGAGGGCCTCCCCCGGAGGAATGAGGCCAGTGATACCTGCCGACTGTGGGTTGGTTTTTTTTAGGGCGTTCTCAGGATGGCTATGGGATTCTCTGCACCACATGGTGGTTCCTGCTAGGATGGATGGATGAATTTCTTCTAGTAGAGAGAGATAAGAAAGGAGATGTGGGGGAAGGGCTAGGCACCCAGAGGCAGAGCGAGGACATGTGGCAAGAGGAGAGTAGATATAGAAGGGGAGGATGTGTAAACTGAAAAAAATGAGATGAGGTAGGAGGCTAAGGGGTGCGTGTGGCAAGTGGAGATAGATCCCAGACGGGGGGACCAAAGATGGGATCTGTTGCCGCCATCACCATTGTCAAGATCCAGTTTTTGCGTGGAGTTACACTCGGCAGTGTGGTTGGGATGGATCTGGTCCAGAACTATGAAATTATGAACCTGACCGTAAAACTTGGAGATACCAGAAAGATGCAGATGCTGGGAAGAAACCCTTTGGGCCTTGATGCCGATGCTAGCCGTGCCTTCTGGAAGCTTTGGTCCTCATCCTGAGACGGTGCCTTTCCTGTCTGGGATTGGATGATTCTCTTCCCCCTGAGACGCCCCGAGCTACCTCTGAGCTAAAACGCACCCCGTACTCCAAAGCTCCCCTTTCCTTTTTCTTCCTGAATCCCCCCCAACCTCTTCCTGTGTCGGAGATTCTGACGCTTGAATCGTGGCGCTTGACTTGGAAGTGCTAGTTTTGGTTGTTGGTCTCTCTTGTTACTTCTCAGTTGTGGGATTCTAGTAATTTCTGGTTTCTGAACCAGGAACATTGGGGATTGACTCCCTGGGCTTAGTTGTTGCTGGCTCACCTGTAGCTTAATAGAGCTAGAAGGGACCTCAGACACCATCTCGTCCAACCTCCCTATTTTACAGATGAAGAAACTGAGGCCCAAGGAGGTTAACTCAGAGTAGCCTTCTTTCTTATGTCCATTCACATACCAGAGACAAGTGTTAGAGGGAAAGACCTCAGGCTTTGGTACCTCCCCTCTCCCAACCCAATCCTGTTTCACTGACGGTATCTTAAATATTTTCATTCCCTCTTCTCATCCCTTACAATGCAGCCAGTTGTTTTGGATATACTTCTTTCCTTACAGTCCCTCTTTCCCTGTTCTGCCTCCCAGATGTAAGTCAGGGTCATCCTCTGTGGGTGAGAGGAAGGTTTGAGTACAGAGGGCCCACTCTGCCAACCATTCCCCAGGGGGTGACTCAGAATCTTTGTGTGTCTTTGGGGCCTGGCCCTCTCTCTGTCACTGCCAGAACAGCAGGGCTGGAGGGGTGGGGTAGAAGATGGGAGGGCTGTTAGGCCGCTCCCTCCTGGGAGGGCAGTTGTGGGATCACTCTGCCCCACCCTTCCGTCCCCAGTTTCCCCAGCAGCTCCAGCTGCCTTTGCTGCTGCCTGGCTGCCTACAGCGTGGGCTTGAGGCTTTCCAGGGAGCCTCCAACTCTGGCCTGGACACAAAGCCCCTTGCATTTAGCTCCTGGATCATTTCAGAAAGTGGCAGGTGAAGGGGACTGAGGCCAGAGCAGCCAGTGAGACCATTTTCTGTGTTTGTATTTGTTTATCTCGGTGTCTTTGACTCTCCTTGTCCCTCTTGGGTTGTTATGTATGTGTTTCTTTGCCTCATTCTCCACATCTCTGTGTTAATGGTCTTTCTCTGTCCTTGGTACTGTCTGTTCCTGGATCTGTTAACTCTGTCATTCAGTTTCTTTTGGGAGGGAGGGGGGAAAAGGGGGTAGGAGTGGGTCTTTCTCTCTCTGTGTGTTTGGATTTCCCCAGGGGGTCTTTTTCTTGTTCCCTGTCCTGGAGTCTGGGGTGTTCAAAGTCCCAGGACCCAACTATTCCTTCAAGATAAAATTTTTAAGGGGCTGGGGATCTAGGATAGTTGTTGGTAGAGAGGTAGAAAAAGGGTGGACAGGACAGAAAGAGGATTATCTTCTCAGTTGAATCCACAAGGAGCTGGGCTGTGTGAACAAGGGGCTGTTTGGGGGTGGGGAAGACTTTTGGTTAGGGGTTTGGATACAAAAGCAACAACTTAGCAAGGATGGGGGAGGCAGTAGCTGTGGGGCCTCTTGACTGTCAGGGACCTGAGTAACCTCTCTTGTGACCATAGGCTGGGAGCCCTGTTGGGATCCAGTCTTGAGAGAGGAAGAAAGAGAGAAAGAGAAAGGGGGTGGAGGAGAGAGAGAAAGAGAATGAGAATATAAAGGACAAAACATTTGTGTGGCTAACCCTGATTCAGTTCAGCTTGGTGATGGAGAAGTAAAGGGGCATAGCTAGTGTGTGACAGTCTGTTCCTTAACTTAACTGGGAGCAAGGTGGTCCTTAGGCAGTTTTCAGCCTGTGCCTCAGTTTCCCCTTATTTGGATGCTGT